ATTAGTTTAGATCCTTGATGCCACCAAAAAATACATGACACAGTGTTGAACTTTTCTCCGTCACAAAGCAGAGAAAGAGGGGTCCCAGCCAATTACTTTGGAAAAGGCAGGAAACAGGGGGGGAAATGGAAATGGGGGTAGAAAGAGGGGAGTGGGATGAAATGAGCTAGAAAGAGGGGCGACCTCAGTTTAAAAGGGGTTGGGTAATAGAGGTTTTGGGGCAACATGAGCAACTGAACTACAAGGGGTAAGAGGGAGCAGAATCAGAAGGATTAGGGGACCTGTGGGAAGAAGGTTGCACTACATTGATAGAGGTCAGAGCGTGCAGAACTCAAGGAAACAGGCGAGGCAGGGCAGCATTGTTTTTCATCTAATTTTGAGATAAGTGCTGTTTTTATACACGTACCTAAGGAATGTGGTTAATGCAATGTTGACCTTCTGAAGATGACAGCGGGCAAACCTCTCTCAAGTGCTGAAATGACAAGAATGTGCTTCATCTTCCTGCTGATGAGTAATGCCGTTTCAGTCTCCACACAGTTTAATGGGTACAACTGTGATGCCAACTACCACAGCAGGTTTCCAGGTAAGAACCCACCATGTAACAATGTTTTCTCTTTATGATCCTGTCATTCTGCCTACATGTATGGAGCAGAGGTAAAACTTTAATACATAGTTCATAACACATTATAACACACTAGAATGTAGTTGCAAATATAAGTAAATATCAAAGTGTTTATTAATGCATATGTCAACAAATACTCGCCCTAAGGCGGCACAGCCTTACACTTAACTGCCTATTTACATGCACAAATCATTCCCAGGCAAACTGTTTATGAAAGCATTTAAATAGAGAAAAGACAAATTATTAAATATGATTACAACTATGTTAAATTATGTTAACAAGGAATCATTAACAGTTTGGATGCATCACAGGAGGATTTTTAAAGGAGAAGTTGTGCTTTTTGACAAATACTTAAGCAGAAAAATTTCTTATATCTGCTATCTACAGTTAGATTATAATGTGTTTTACAGTTTTAATGTTACCGCTTATAGTATTTAGCACTAAATAATGTACTTTCTATTTTACCATACTTATCTAATGGTTTATTCATAAAACAAATAGCTTGATAAAAATGGTATACCTTGTTATACATTTAACAACCAAATTAGCTACAGCACTAAAATCATGCTTATCAATAAGGGAGCAGTTCTGTACTACTGACTACACTGACATCATGTCCTCTGTTTATTTTCTAGGATTTTAGCACCATGGGGTAGTTGACACTACAGTTAGAAATGTACAAATATGTAAGATTGATTCTATGTTTAGACTCAGACTGATTAATTTTAAATAAATAAATGATTCTGTCCTCCAGAATTTTATTCCTGGCAATGTAGGGAGGGCTTTAATAATAGTTAGGAAATGATATGGTAAAAACCTTTTTCTAAAGAGGTTTTCATAATCTCCTAAAACTTTACTAAGAAGCTTACTGGAAAGAATTGAAACTACCTGAATAGACTTTCTTTTTGGTATCTAAAATCCTGCCTATGGCCCTGTTAGATAAAGGATAGATGGATAAGGAGTTACAAGTGCTCGCAAATTGCTTTTGTGAAACAGGCCCTAGAATTCTACAGCTAAATAAATGTGTTGTTAACCTTTCCTCCAGGTGAGCGGGACATCAGCGTGTACTGCGGGGTTCAGACCATCACCTTGAAGATCAACTTCTGCCCCGTGCTCTACTCCGGCTACACCAACGCAGATTTGGCCCTCAACGGTCACCACAGTGATGCCCAATGCCGTGGCTTCATCAACAACAACACCTTCCCCACAGTGATCCTGTTCAGCATCAGTCTCAGCACTCTGGAGGCCTGCGGAAACAGCCTGGTGGTAAAGAATAAATAAACACAAGACATTGGGTTTTAATAGAATCAATAAGCAACTTCATGAAGTTGTTTATTGACTTGGGAGAAGACAAAAGTGACAATGCTGAGATGTTTCTATCTGCAGGTCAGCACAGCCTACGGGGCCAATGCCTATGGGAACATGTCTCTGGTACAAATTGGGAATGTCTCCGGCTATATCGACACCCCTGACCCACCGACAATAATCAGCTACCTGCCCGGTTTGTTGTATAAATTCAGCTGCAGCTACCCACTGGAGTACCTGGTCAATAACTCACAGCTGGCATCGTAAGTGGCTGCCAAAAAATCGAGTAACTTTCAGGAGTTACTCAATGGATTTGATATTAAGATTTCTTCATTTAATTAAGAATTTGTTTATTGTTCCCCTAAACTATGGTGACAATTATGCCCCTGGTTTTGGTATTCTAAGAACCATTAATATTAGAATATGCATATTTTCATAATAATGATGCAATCCTATAAACTGTCTCTTTTAGTCATATAAATAAATAAATAAATAAATGTACTACAGCTTTATCATAATACTACATCACAATTTGTGCTTTCAAAATCATGTTTATCAAGTGAACATCCACAAAAGATGAATAAATAGCATTGAAGTAAATGTGCTGCATCTCTTCACAGCTCCTCTGCTGCTGTTACTATAAAGGACAGCAATGGAACATTTGTGAGCACGTTGAATATGATCCTGTACAATGTGAGTACACAGCTGTGTTCAACTTATTATATACAGTAATTTCCACTTCAATGCATGATCTTTGAAGCTTTGAATTATGAGGTTCAGAAGGATATGTTTTAATGTCCATGATCTTTGAATCAGTTTGTGTTTTATTTTAATGAATCTGTTAATTAATTAGTTATCCAGTTAGGAGGATAATTGAAATATCATCAGATTTAACCTTATAAATTGTGATTTTTCATATTTTTCTTATCAGAAAATTCACATGAAAATGCCTAAAACCAACACTGAATTGAATGTTTATTTAATTACAATGAACGTGGGCTCAGTGGTTTATTTTGAATCCCAGAAACATTGTTCTGCTGCAATAAATACTCACTAGTGCACAAAATGTATATTAATCCAAACCTGAAAATAGTTCCCACCGAATGCAGTGTTTACAAACAGTGTCCTGTTTGTGTAATGTTTGCTAAAAACTGACATGCCCAGCTATTTTAGGGAATTATGAAGCCTTTTTAAAAAAAAATCAAAACATATTCGTGACATGTTTTTAAAGAGTTAAATCTTCAGCAGGAAGAAATGGGTTTGGGGCTGACAGACACGCTGGTGAGGATAGAAAGTATTGAGAGATGGACTAATACACTGTTGGTTTTAGTCTTAACAGGATTTACTAACAAAAATGTAGAATATCACCAGCCTTATCTTTTAAACACTCATTATGTCAAGACTGAGCCTGTCTACTAATTGTAAGTTTCTAATTTGAGAAAACACAGTGAAAAACTAACCTTTTTATTTTGATTTTTCTCTCCACTTTAAACAGGATTCAACATATAATCAACCTCTCTCTATTCCGATGGCTGGACTGGCTCTCAAAACCAGAGTATTTGCAGCTGTAAAAGCCACAAACTTAGACAAACGGTACCAGATAACATCTGATTATTCGCTGTTCAATATTGATTTTCAAATGTAATAAATCTTTTTAGAAATATTGCTCATGTAGCAGACATTTTGCCATTACAACTTCAGTGAAGCCGGAATGATATTTTGTACAGCATCTTTCCCACCATCATTTTTACAGATTTAGTCAATTTTTCTATGGTTTGCCTACATTCATTATGCCATTATGTTATTATGCTACATGAAGGCGCCAGTCTGCAGCAGAGAAAGCCCAGATTTGTGCTTTCCCATGTGCAGTTAGATCTCTATCTTCTATCCCATCTCAGTTTTGTCTCTGTGCAGGTGGAACATCTTGATGGACTATTGTTACACAACCCCCTCAGGGAATCCTAATGATGAACTCCGCTATGACCTTTTCTTCGGGTAATCTAGCCTTTTTTTTTTTTTTTACTTCAAGATGATGACTTGATAAACCACAAAAGGAAGTCATTACCTATTCAGGCTGTCCAAAGAGCTTAGCCCCATGAATGCTACCTTGTCAACGAGTGCTTAAGCATACATGTACAATTTATCATTTTGTGTGTACATGTGTGTTGTACTCTTTTGACACAGCTGCTACAAAGACTCGCAGACGACAGTTTTCGAGAATGGGAAGAGTCAGATGGGACGTTTTTCGTTTGAGGTTTTCCGTTTTGTTAAACACAGACACCAAAAGATGTCAACTGTGTTTTTGCACTGCGTCACGAAGCTTTGCAGGCCAGATGACTGTATCATGCTCATGCCAGTAAGTGCCAGTAAAAATCGTGAACCTCAATTTGTGTGTCAATGACTACTGAAATATGATCATGTGATTGGCAGATTTGTGGGCGACGGCGTAGGCGGGGTGGAGAGGAGAGCCTTGACTCCCCACCTGCAGCATCTGGGAAAGCTGTCATCACCGCTGGCCCAATCATCACCAGGAGTGGTATGAACAATAAACTGACACTGGTGGTTAACTGTAACAGGTTAAAGGAGTAGTTCCTATTTGGGGAAATACACTTATTCATTTCATTGCTGAGAATTAGATAACAGTATTGACACTTCTCACAATAATTTAGCATAGTTAGCATAAAGACGGAAACGGGGGAAAAAGCAAGGCTGCCTCTGTCTGTCCTATACCATCACCTCTGAAGTTCAATAATTGACTAATTTGCTTCCTTTCAGACTGTTTGGACACGGTTAGCTTAGCTTAGCAGGGGAAAACAGCAAATCATATAAATAGCATTCCACATAATCAGAGTGCTGGTCGGAACCACTGTAAAGCCCCTCGTTAACATTACCATTACCAAAAAGTCCTCTAAGCTAAACGACAACATCAGATGTTTTAACCAACCTCCAAATTGCTAACGCTATGAAGCTAGCGTAGCTACTTTGTTAAAAAAATAAAATAAAATCCATCTAGTTTCTCACGGAAAACACCGGACACCCGGTTGAAAAGCAACTTACTATTCATCCAACCAACCACCACTGGAGTACAACTTTATAGCTATTTATTATATGTGACTGTCTTTGTCATGTGTTTCAATTGTACGGCTACAATAAATGTAAACATGAGTCATCATTTTGTGTGTCTAAAACAACCAAGGGCAAATTTTTTTGTGGAGGACAGGCTCGTATTCTCTGTCGTCAAACTGGCTTTATATCGGTATCTGAGGTTATGTTCAGTGCCAGTCTGGCCGTGCTGCCGGATTCTTGCTCTGGTTCTAATGCATTTCGATGCTGCTCCTGCCAGCATTCCCCGCCGGGTCCTGGGCCTGAAAACCTCTCCCTCCTCTCAGTGGTCCAAAACCCCTGTGCTAGCAGTGTAAACACTCCCTGGTGCTCCGAACTCCCAGTCCAGACAGCAAGCAATAGGAGGATACACTGAGCTAACTAGCTAATGGCAGCTACAGCTAGCAGCAGTTAGTGGCAACTTTGGTGATATACTGCCCACTATTTGTTTTGAGTATGAATTTGACAGGTGGCCATCATTGCACCTTTAAAGAAACCTGATAATGTGTTAGTGAGCTTTAGATATTTTGTTACCTTTGGACAGAGCCAGGCCAGACTGTCTTCATGCTAAGCTAAGCTAGCAGTCTCCTGGCTGCAAGCTCATATTTAATGGCCAAATATGACAGTGGTATCAATCATCTTCTCTAATTCTCAGCAAGATAAGGCGCAAATAAGGATATTTCTGAAATGAAAAACTATTCATTTAAATACATACACAAAGCCATTGGAGATTGAAGTACTTGTAAAAACAATTCTAATACTTTAAAAATATTTTTTCAGATGAAACTCGTGTCAACAACTCCCAACTTGGTAAGCTCCCTTATGCAACGTTACAAAACATAAAAAAGGTTTAAAATGCCACCTGTGATGGGTGTAAACATAGCAGATATCCAAGAAAATTAATGACCGAACAAAAAGGTTCCACTTTTCTTTCTGAAAGAACAATTTATTATGTTAAGGCTACGTCAAAGAACATGTCTGTTTCTATCTTCTGCTTTTCCTCATCTTTCCATCCTCCAGAATCTGGTAACCCCTCCAAGCATATGAACCCGGTGACCAGCGCTCTGATCTCAGGCGTGGTCATCCTGGGCGGGATCAGTGTGTGTCTCTTCCTGCTGTCAGTCCACCTCCTGCAGAAATCCCGCCTCCCAACATCCACAGCCTCAGGTGTTTGGAACCCCAGCTTTAAATGAATAAACATGTATACTGTATATAACATCTTGATACTGACAATGTGTGCTGATACACATGTTGGGAACACAGACTTAAACAAATGGATAATGTACATGTGTGCTTTCCTTTGTATACGCATTATTAAATGTGCATATTGTATTGTTTCAGGTGTTGTGTATTTATTTCATTCAATATCATTATTCTTGTTGTTATTCATTGTCATCCATTGTTCAGCCAATGACAGTGTTTACAAACAATTTACACCCATAACGATGCAAATGCAGTAACCTTCATCTTTAGAACTTGTAATAAAATACGGCATCAGAAATGCGTGTGTAACTTCCCCTTTCTTTCTTTAATGTGAGCCATCACCTCACAATTCTTCATTTCCCCCCCACATTAGCTTCACAAACGCCAGCTGTGTTTGATGAAAATTAGTTATTTTGTCAAATTAGATCTTTGACAAATGGCTTTGACAAGGCTTAAAAAAAAGGCTGAGGCATTGTTTTTTGTTTTACTGTCAAAATGCATAGCATTTACCACATTATAATCCTGTATGTTAAAATCAACTAATCATGCAGTGTTTTGAAATCAACGAAGGGGATTCTTTTGTGGAAAGTGGATTTTATCTGGCTGTAAAATACTTACACTAATGTGTATTCACTTTCACTGTAAACCCAATAAAGTTCAGAATACTCAATATATTTGTGGAAACTGATTACCTCAAACCTTTACAGTAGTGGTAATAATTTGAGTAAACCTTAACTTAAATATAATACATTTCTTTAAAACAAACGTTTAATTTCTGCATTCTAAATTACATTGATTCACTGATGCTTCTTAAAAATTAAATTCCACTAATTCTTTACTCAATAAATGTACTGTAATTGTGCACAACTTATATTCAGAGGCAAAGTATTGTGCTAGACTCAAATTCTAATGGAAACTCTACTACTAGTCAACTTGAAATTTACAAGATACCCATTTTCAGGTAGTCCTGAAACATAGGAATACAACACCGTTACTACAATTCGAGTTCCCTTTGTAGTATCAAAACCCTAAACAGCTGTCATTTCTACATTTGACACAAAATAAGGCACATCATGCGTAAAGCTGAATAGACCAATTGACTGCTTGATCAGATAATTAACCAGCAACAATTTTAATCAATTTGTTTTCATTCTTTTTGTAATAATGTTGAACATTCTCCATTTCCAGATTCTTAATGATTTTTTTTGGTGTTAAGTGATAACTTGAATCTCTTTTTCCTACTTACTGTGTTTTGTGAAAAAAGCAACTATGCATAATTTTATTCCATGAGCAGCACTTTTACTTAAAGGTAAAAGGGCGCTTTAAAGGTGGAGTTTTATGGAATCATAAGCAATGCAAATTGTTAAGTAGAAGAGGTAATGGAACAATAAGGGTTTCTGCAGGTTTCACCTGGTCAAATATTTAAGACCTTTATGAATGAAATTTAAAACCTATATCATGACTTCAAGAAACAAGGAGAATGCAGTCACAAAATTACTTGCAGAGTAAATCAATGTATTCAAATTAGGGTCGAGAGATGTCTACAATGAAACACCGGGATGGACAATGACATCGATAAGCTACGTAATTAATAAGCTGGCATGTGGTGGACCTGCTGATGTGAAAAATGGATCACCAGTAGAAAAAAATAAAAAGAGTTCTGTGTCTTTGGCAACTTTGTAAAGCTTAACCTACTGCTGATGGATAAACTCAGGGGAGCAGACAGGGAGACAATAAACTACACCCCAAAAGCTAAACTTGCTAAGTAAGTCTGCTGGGGTTGAATTATAACCATTAGGTCTGGGAAATTCATTTGGTTGGTTTTGATACTCTCCACAGTGACTTTATATTCATTGCGCAGCACCAAGCTGTTTTGAGCCTCACCACCTTATAATGGCAGGAACACACATGACCTCAGAATCATTACAGATTCAGTTCATTTTTGCCTTGTCTTAATTTACTACTTTATACATTTGTAGAAATTAACATAAATAATAGGAAACATGAGAACCACCTACCTTCTGTATTATAATCATTTAATTTGTACGTCAAAATCCAAAAGAATAATCTCATTAGCTTAAAAAGGACCAACGTTAGTTTGCATCCCTAATTTGCTTTAACATTACTAACCTCAGCTACTCCGTAGTCAACACCGTCCTCTTTTTAATTTAACTATCAAGATGTACAGTAGAAGACAGAGCTGGAAACCGGACAACTACGAGGCCATTCAAATACATTGCTAGAGACTGGTTTTAAGCCCCAAGATCTGTTTTTCCATCCAAGAACCGATCAGGTTGCACTTCCCCATAGCTGAAGAATAAATCCGTTTTATATCTGTGGTACAATCCGAAAGATTTGCAGCAATAACACGAAAGCTGCCCGTTGGTCTTTGTAGTCGTAATACAGCAAATTATATTTGGACCAGCAATAGAAAGAACTACACCACCACGGGAGGAAAAACCATTCCGAGCACTGCGGGGCCATTTCAATGAGCATTAGAGGTAGCATTACATGGACGCTGGGAAATAAATACCCGTTTAAAATTATTTAAGACCTTGAACACAAACTTTTTCAATGTAAGACTTTAAGGCCTGGAGGTGGGGCTACGTACCGAGGCCCTGCTGGAGGCGCTCTCCTCCTCGTTGTTGGGCGGAGCCGCTCCTTCCCGGGAGCGAGGCGTGGAGGCTGGAGCCTTACGGCAGGACTTGGGAGGTTAGGTCTAGGAGTCTTTGTACTCCTGCAGGAAGTGACATCAGCCGCCACAGTGATATCACCCGTCAGTGTGTGCGCGCACCTCATCTTGTGGACCTCGTCACAGCTGGCCTGAACGTGCTGCAGAGCCTGAAGGATTGGGGTCTGAGTGACAATATCTCCTGAAGCGATCAATAAGCCTGTGTGTACTGACAGCTGTTCTTGGTGTTGCTCAGGCTCAGCCTCAGGTTGTCCATGAGCTCCAGGATCTGTTCCAGGGTTACTGCTGTAACTGAAGACTGAGGACGGACACACAACCGCTGTTCATTAGGTACCCAGAGGTAGTCTTCACCTCTGTGCTATCTGTCCTCATTCATTTGTCTTCACCTCTGTCCTCATCAATCTGTCCTCATCGTTCCATCTCTGTCTGTTCTCACCTCTGTCTCAGTCTGTCCGTCCTCACCTCTCTTGCGGCGCTGGTTGTTCTTGATCAGCTGGGCCTTGATTTTCCCAGCGTGTTGTCGTGATTGGTGTCTCAGGTGGTGGTGAACTGGTGACAGGGACAACTCAGCACTCTCTTCACCATCTTCTCACTAGGCCTGGGAAACAGACCCAGGAGTCTCTAAGACGAGTGTCCAGGTGTGTTCCTGTCATACCTCTCTGCGGAGCAGCAGCAGCAGACAGGACATGGCCTCCGGGTGTTCTAGGAACACAAAGACAAGAGTCAGAGGACTGATCAGACTGAAGGTCAGGGACCCTTTCCTGGACACCACTCACCTTTATATTTAAGGTGCTGCAGGATGGGGATGATGGTCTCCAGGGGGACGCTGTGAGCCAGAACAGCTGCCAGGTGTTGTACTGCTCGAAGCTCTCCCAGTCTAGAGACTAAACTGTGGACACACAAAGAAGAAGACACAAGGACAGGTGGACACATGAAGAAGACGCGGATGTTGAGCACAAAGTCCTTTCTGAACATCCCCAGGCTCCCCATCATCATGTGACACATCACCTCCTTCAGCTGCAACACCGAGAGACCTGCTTACTGAACACAACCTGGATCAGAACCAGAGTCAAGGTTCTGCAGAGGTGAGTCCTGATCAGCTGTTACCTGTGTGAGGTCACAGCATGGCGGTGATGGTGGGATGAGGTTTCATGGAGTGATGCATCACAAGGACGGCCGTTTTTAACGATACCACTATCGATACATTATTTGGTGACGGTTATTTGGAAAGACCAGACCCAACGGGCATGAGGTAGGACTGCACGGCATGAGGAAAATATTCAATGTGCGATAACATTGTTATATAGAGATGATATATGACTTCCAATAAATAAACATGTTGAAGTGTCCATAGTAACTGCGTGGTTGTTTTAAAATTATTTATAGGGATTAGACTTTAATATTTTAAATACAACTAAAAATGTAATTTTCCAGTAAAGAAATATGCAATTCCACATAATTTTGGAACATTATTACCACATCTGTGAACAACAATTAGAGTAAGATGTTAATGGAACTACACCCAAAAACCTACACTTGCTAAATAAGTCTACATACAGTAATGAGCATTGGATAAGACACATGCCTTTGGTGAGACCTGCGTTCGATTTCAATTGTGACACATGCATCAATGTGTCCCTGAGCAGACACCTAACTTATAGTTGTTCCAGAGGCGTGCCTCCTTTAGCATATATAGCAATTGTAAGTTGCTTTGGATAAAAGTATGAGTTAAATGACTAAATGTATTTAGTATACAAGTGGAATACACAGGATTCATTTTACTGGCCCCACCTCCATTTCAGCGCTAAGGCCTGCTGACTTTGCTTGGTGTGTATAAGGCAAATGCTGCAGCATTACATTAAACTAACTTACACCAAAACTCGAGAAGCAGAGATAAAAGAACCAGTAAAGTTGCAGCTTATCAATAACAGTTACCAACATTACAATCTTTAATAATTTAGCCCTGGGGCTCATTTAATACCAATCCCTAAACATAAGTTTGTCAATACCACCACCTATAGCAATGTTTCTTTAACTTAACATTACTGAGACAAGACTGTCAATTTTACATTTACTCATTTGGTAGACGCTTTTATCCAAAACAACTTAATGTTAGCTTCTCAATTAATGGCACATTTAAGCTAGCCATCAACTCGGTCACTTTAGCCCTTCGGAATTCTGTTTAAAGATAAAACCAGCCAGCTGGAGTTTATAGTGAACATCAATATCAAGTTATTCTACAACACTGTTTCTGTTAAAATACAAAACAGTGGATTAATAAGCAGGAGAGACTTACCACAGTCCAAATAAATGACGGGACATTCCATATGCGACGTCGACTCTCGTTTTACTTTCACAAAGCGCGTGTTGCCGCTTATATATAGATATATGACAATCCACGTGACCGATGACGTCAGAACTTTCCACGTCATTAAATCTTGGCGC